CTCACTCCTCTTTGGCCGTAGAAGGCTGAAGTTAGCTGGACTCATGGACATCTCCTACACAGACTACGTCTGTTTCCTGGTCTTTTTTATAAGTATGTTGTATTAGGGTTCCTTAGAGGAACAGAATCAACAGGAAGTATAATTATAAGAAGGGTATTTACTAGATCAGTTCACCCAACCAAAAGCTGGACAGTCCACAGTGGCCGTCTGCAGGCTGGAGAGCTGGAGGAACCATAGCTGCAAAGTCCAAGAGGCAGAAGCCCCAGAACAAGAAGGATCAACAGTGCTACCCTAGCACAAGACCAAAGGCTTCTGGAAAACTCCCTGGAGAATCACTGGTGGAGTTCCCTTTGGGAGAGTGAAGAATCAAGAGGATCACACCAGCAATCAAGAACCCATTCAAGAGGCTAGGGTTGGGGCTCAGTGGTAGAGCACTTGCCTAATATCTGGGAGGCACGGGGTTCGATTCTCAGCACCACATACATATAAACAATTAAAATAAAAGTCCATTGAGAACAACAAAAAAAAAAATTTAAAAAAAGAACCTGTTCAAGAAGAATCGAGTTGCATCTGCAGCTGCTTCCTTGTTCTTCCACCATTTATTCCATCCAAGCCATCATCCTATTGGTCAGTGCTACCCATGCTTAGGGAGGGTCTCCACTTCAGTTCACTATCCCACACGACAATCATTCCTAGACATACCGTCAAGCCTCTTAATCATCAGCATCTCTTGATCCAATCAAATTGACAATTCAAATTAACCATTATATAGGTCATATGACTAGGTCCTGGCACATGAGCGAAAAGGTCATGTAGAGTTTCTGGGAGAGTCCATAAAGGATGGGCACTCAGCCTTCTTTATTCTGTCCTCCCACTCACTGGCTGCAGTGAGAATGTTAGTGGTGGGTCACCATCCTGGACCACGCGCTGGGGGCGCAGAGTGACTCATGGGGTCCCTGGTGTCATGGATCAACTCAGACCCCTGGGCTGCCCGTCTCAGCCTACCTCATTTACAGGAGAGAAACAAACTTCATGTTTAAGCCACTTTTATTTTAGGATCTCTGTCTCATACAGCTGAACCTAATCCTAACTGACAGGTACCTACTCCTAGAAGATGGTACCTGAACAGGATGCCCCAAGTCCTGGACCTGGTGCATGCCACGGAACAGGCCTAAAAATGCAGCCTGACATGAAGGAGCTGGGCAGGGGTGTCTGGGCAGGCTGAGCAGGTTTACCATTGGGCACTGCTGTCATGCATCAGCGAAGCTTCTGAGTAAGCCCTGGCCTCTGCATCTCAGGAGGTAGACCAGGAGTCTGTTAGCAGTAGGGTTACTGCAAGAAACAGCTCTGAAAAATCTTCTGACACTGTAAAGTTTGAAAAGAGAAATGACTTCCAACTAGATTTAACCAGTCTCAAGAATGTGGAAAAAAAACTATGGGTTTGACGGGGAAGGAGATCTCTGTCTGCAACCTGCAATCTATGTTGGAGTCTCCACATCTCTGCTACGTTCCAGCAGGAGGGAGGACTGATGCTTCAGCACAGAGAGCCCAGGAGCCTGTGCCCAGGATGCGATTCAGAGCTGGCCTCTCGCCCAAGCCCAAGGAAGCTGCCATTAAATAGGGAGAGGAGGGGAGAGCAGAGTGCGGAGGCCTTTAAGGAACCTGAGTTACTCAGCTGAAAACCTGGTGCTGACAACAACTCTGATGGCTCCTTACATGGAACCAGTGAGAAGCAAACCAGCTGGAGACCTGCAGAAGCCCTGAAGACACATCTCCCCAGACCCAGGAGGCGGGTCTACAGAAAGCGGTGACTCTTCAGTGCTCAGAACGATTCCCAGACCCCAACCCTCCCAGGAAGTGGCTTCAGAAGCCCATCCTCTCTAGCATCCATTTCAGATGTAGCACAGGGATGACCCCCGCAGAAGACAAGGCCACCACCCCAAAGGACACCAGATAAGAGAGCTGTTCTGGAGGGCAGGCCACAGTAGGACCTCAGTGCAGGAGGCCCTGGGGACCAGTGGGCCCTATTTCCACCATGGCAGCATGGTCCTTGGGTGTGCTGGGGCACGGAGTTTGTCTGAGTTGTTGCTGATGTTGCTTGTGGTGCTGGAGGTTGAACTCAGGACCTCCTGCAGCCAGCCAAGAGCTGGACCACTGAGCTACAACTCCGCGCCAAGCTCACCTCTTTAACTAACAGAGTGCCACGCCTCGGTAAGCCAGCTGAGAGGAGAGGCTATATATCTATATCCTAAATCTGACCAAGAGGAAGTGTCTTCCTCTTGGTCAGATTTAGGTTTTTGTGGAGGAGGAAGAAGAGACACATGGCTATCTGGGACTATGACAGAGATTATTGGTGGTTCCCACTATGTATTCACTCCTTCTTCCCGGAAGAGAACTCAGAATTTTAGCTAATACATGTTCTGAGGTGGAGGGAGGGTCAAAAAAGAAAAAAGATTTTAAGAACTTTATAATAAAGGCATATATCTAGGGCTGGGGTTCTGACTCAGCGGTAAAGCGCTTGCCTAGCATGTGTAAGGCACTGGGTTCGATTCTCAGCATCACATATAAATAAATAAAATAAAGGTTCATTGACAACTAAAAAATATTTTTTAAAAAAAGACATATATCTAATTTCACTTCTCCAGCCTTTTGGGAAAAAGCTGTTCAACAGTCACAGAAGTGATACATGTACAGAAATAAGCACTGAAGGAACCCAGTCTACAGTTTTGAAAATTCTTCCCGCCATCTTCTTGACCCATGAAAATGTCCTATATGATACAGAAAGCACCACCCATTTTTATAAACATTCAGAAGCACTAACAATTCCACGGGCAGCAAATTCTGCTACCCAGCATTGTGTCTATGCACTGCTGTGACCGTGGCCTTTGACTCTACCCAATGAACATGTCTGAGATCAGCTGACAGACGGGAGGCACATAAAAGCAAGTGCAGAAGCAACAGCTTCCGACACACTCCAGCCACGCGCTGTCGTCTCCTCTAGTGCGACTGAACACAGCACCAGCGTTGCCTTCTTGGCACAGGACTATTTCATTTACTTCTTTCATGGTCCTGGAGTGGACAATTCCAGGTCCTTTGGGTGCCCGGGGGACCTCCTCAGATAGCTGCTCCTAACACAGTTGCAGGCCCCCAGGAACCTCTTACCAGCTCGCTGACTTCACAGGCGTCTGTGAGTGACTTTCCCCGGGGGCCTCAGGAAGGAGCCCACGTGGACAGTGGGTGAAGGACAGCTATAAGAGCTAAGGCCGGTAACAACTACTTAGCATCTGCCCTGCGGCAAGCAGAGGGACTAAAAGCTAAGAATCAAAGCCATTTCACTCTCCATACTCTGCAGAGACCAGACAAGAAGAAAAACAGATTCCCAAATGCCCTGGGCAAAGCTAAAATACTTTCCTCTTTTGTAAAGATGAAAACTCATAATCCCTCGGAAAGTTCCATCTTAGTACTGAAAAGCTCAGCTATGCAGCTTCATGTCCGTCACACACTCTTACAAACCCATGTTGTTGGGGCAGAATTTTTTGTATTGGTTCTTTTTAGTTATACATGACAGTAGGATCCATTTTGACATAATTATGCAATCGTGGAACACATCTAATTCAGGCTCCGGGAGGGGTACTGGGCAGAATGTTTTTTTAAAGTTCAATACCGAAAAGAACTTACTGAGAGCTGTATTCCCGTGGCTGTGTTCACGTCTTTTCCTAAAACACAGTGTGGACAGCAGGTAAAGAAGCTCGACCTCCAGAGTTTTCTTTCTGACCTTCATCTCCTAAAATCTTTTGCTTAGCAATACGCATGCTTTTTTATTTAGAAACCTAATTGTCACGGGCGGCCCCTCTGGAGAGAATGGCCTTCATTGAGCAGCAGAGGATTCTCCCAGGGTGTGTTCATCCGAGGGAACACGGTTCTTCCTTCTGCAGTGGGGAGTGGCAGGTGGGCACAGCGGGGGGACCAGGGACACGGAATAGATAGTTCTATGATAACACAAATTAACTCAGCCAACAAGAACTTCACACGGCTCACACCGCCCTGCCTGCTGCGCCCGCCCGCCAATCCTCCTACATCCTTTCCACATAGAAAAATCGGCACTTCTGCTGGCATGCCATTACATTCCAGAAATTACTGTTCAGAACAAAGGCGAAAATATTTCCCTATGTTGATTACATATCTGTCTAATCATGCAGGCGCCCGGTGAAGGCCCAGAAACTGTGAACCCAGTTGTTCTGGGAAACTTACAGTCCTTGAATTTTGGTCGTGCACTGGGGGAAGATACTTTTCTTATTCCCTCCCTACAGCCCAACTGTTAAACTAAAATAGTGTTAATTAATACTGGCTAGTGGGGAGCTTTTTAAAAAGTCCTTTTAGCTGATTTCCATGTTTTAATCTTGAATCAAAGTCCACAGGACAGAAGAAATAAAAAGAAAACCTTGCAATAAAGTAAACTTCAAACATCCAAGTGGGATTACGGAGTGCTTGAAAAATGCACTGGATGAGAACAGACCAGAACCATTTTCAAAATACAAAGCTCCAATTTATTTCGATTTAACCCAGCTTAGGTGTCACTCAAATTTGCTATCCTAATGCTCCTGAAAAAATCCTAAATTAAATGTTCGACACTGATTATAACCGCACAGAAGTTAAATGGTAACCTGAGTAATAACGCCACCTGTTAAATGCTTTGTTTTTTAATAATGTTCTTTTCTCCAAGGACATTCTGAAAGTCTTGATTAAAGGAAGCAAGACACAAGGCACAGATCACAACCTCCCCCACCCTCCCCCTACTCCATAAAACACAGAACTCTGATCCAGCAATTTTATTAAGCTCCTATTCCTACATTTAGCTCTCCTCAGACAGGAACATCTACCTTGCTAACAGGTTTGTTCAAATGTCTCATGTGCAACCACACCTTTGCTGGGGTCACAGAAAATCATCAACACAAGAGGCTTCCCCGGAGCAGGTGCCAGGGCGCCCAGGCAGGACTCACCCATCCAGGAGGTTCATGGTGGTGGGGGTCACTTCAGCAAACAGAATTACTTTTCCAAGCTGCTTGGTCTGCAGATTTTGTCGATAGATCTCTAAGTTAAAATGCTCTGACGAGATGACCTCTGCTTCGGTGATCACAGGTAGCGAAGAGGGGGTGATTCCTATTTCAGATGTGTAAGATGAAACAAATTTGAGGGACAGCTTGCTGGATTTTATTACTCCTTCAGGATCAACATGTCTCCCGAGCCACTGCATAATCGGATCCCGGATTTCCTGTGTCATTAAAAAAAAAAAAAAGGAATGAAAATGTTGTAATTTGGCATTTCATAAGATGATGAAGTTTTTCCTAAAAATGCCATTTGGGTAATATAAGTACTTCCTGATACATGACCAATAAGAACTAGGTTAACATATTCTGTACATCTAAACTACTATACCATATGATAAAAATATACATTAAGTGCTGTGTTTGAATTTTCATCCCCCAGAATTCATATATTGGAAATCTAATACCCAAATTCATATATTAATGGCATTTGGAGGTGAGACCTTTGGGAGGTGACTGGGTCATGGGAGCTCTGCCCTCATGAATGGATTAATCCATTAATAGGTGAGTTATTGAGGGAGAGGGTTAGTTACCATAGGAGTGGGTTTGTTATAAAAGCAGTATAGCCACCTTCTGCAAGTCCCCTCACCATGTGAAGCCCTGCACTGCCTCTAACTGCAGAGTACTCCCACCAGTGCAAAGGCCCCTAGATGTGGCCCCTCAAAAAGACTTCCCAGCCTCCAGAACTGTAAGAAATTAATTTCTTTTCCTTATAAATTACTCAGTCTTGAGTATTCAGTTATAGCAACAGAAAATAGACTAAGATACTAAGTATGATTATATTATAAAAATAAATTTTAGAAACCAGGATCCAAGGAAATCAGGTCAGCATACTTCCCAACCTGTTACACTTCAGAAGTCACTTTCACGCCTAGCATTCACAAGTAACTCGCCAGTCTTCTGTGCATCTATAAAATACGTGTACCTTTTGCCCCACAGGAAATTCATTATCCTGTTTGGAAGCAAACAAACAAACCCCTAGGTAGAGGAAGTCACAGAATGCAAAGCACTAAGACACGAGACCACCAATCTCAGGCCCTGGAGGACCGCTGCTTCCTCTTGTGAACCAGCGGAGCACTGGCCACCAACAGGTAAGAAACAAATTTCCACACAGAGAAAATAAGGGGACCAGGTGCAAATCCAAAGAGAGGGAGGAAGCCAGGACCCAGAAAAGACACCATCTAACCCAGACACAGGGCTCTCTATTCTATGTCCGAAATCATAATGGAGCTTGGAGGAGGCTCCCCCACGCTACTCCAAACCTCAGAGGTCATCAGGAACTGGGGCTTCGGGGGAGTCTTCATCCCTAGAGGCTGGCACGAAACAGATGCAGGCTCTCATGGCATCCTCTCGCCAATACCAGGTATTTCAAAAGGAAAAAAAAAGCAACCTTCCCATTAACATCAAGAGTGTGCCCCAAATTCCACATGGTCATCGAGAAGCAGCTTCGAAGATGAAATTTAATTTAAACAAATTCAACTGATGTTCCCCCCTTCGGTGCTGGGATCAAATCCAGGATCGCCAGCCCCCGTTAATCAATGTTTAAAACTTATTTCCTATTTGCCAGAAACACAGAAGAGAGAGGGAACCGCAGAAATGATTTCAAAAGGAAGCAATCAGAAGAAACCTGGGAAGTGAGACAGTACAGGTCAGCTGGCTGGACTCTCCAACAATGTCAGGAGGGAAAGGCCGTGTGGTGCAGAAGCACAGGGGGCGTCCCATCTAGATCAGAAGGGACAGGAAAGACATGAGGAAATGCAAGGAGTGGTTCCTGATGGATTCTGGTTCCAATCAACTAGCTGGAAAAGGCTCCGTGAGACGATCTGGGGTCCTGAATATGGACAGAATTCACTCCTGTCCGTTTAACAGGTGTGATAAGGGTACTACTGTGGCAAAAGAAGACACCCTTCATTTTTAAAAAATGTGTGTATGTCATAATATCGATGATTGACTGCCAAACAGAAGAAGCCAGTGAGGCCAGTGTGAGTCACTGCTGAGCACAGGTGAAGGGCACGTGGCGTACCTGTCACACCATTTCTCCCTCTCTCCGTGTTTGAGGATGGGCATAACTAAAAGGAGCTCTCAGAGTGGTGACATGAACACGAGCTACTGGCTCAGTGAGCTTTTCATCACTGTGACCAAAACACCTGACCAGGACATCTTAGAGAGGGAAAACTTATTTTGGCTCCCAGTTTCCGAGGTTCCGTCCAGGACTGGCCAGCCCCCTCGCTCTGGGATGGAGGTGAGGCAGAAAATCAAGGCAGAAGGGCAGCGGAGGACAGCTGCTCCACTCACGGCTCCCAGAAAGCAGTGAAACAGGCAAAGCCCAAGGACAAAAAATAAACCCAAAGGCACGCCACGGGGGACCTTCTTCCAGCAGCCACACCCCACCTGCCTACGGTTCCTTCCACCCAGTACAGGAGTCCTTTCAGATTGTTAAGCCAGCGAGTAGGTTCATCAGGTTACAGCTCTCACAATCTGATCACTTCACCTCTGTACATTCCTGCATTGGCTCCCACATGGCTTTGGGGGGCACCTCATATCCAAACCATAACAGCTACTGGGAAAACAGTGGGTCCAGCTAAAACATATTAGCAACCTATTCATTCTCTCCATAGGAGGAAGCAAGAGCATCAGCCAAGAGAGAAGAAGAGGAAGCAGGGGGTGGGGGTCCGAGCAGGGAGAAAACAATGTAGTGGGGGGACACGGCAGCAGCTGGAAGCACAGGGCCATCGAAGGCCAGGGAGCCTCGCACCAGGGGCTTCTTTTTTTTTAGGACTTTTTAATATTTATTTTTTTAGTTTTCGGCAGACACAACATCTTTGTTGGTATGTGGTGCTGAGGATTGAACCCGGGCCGCACGCATGCCAGGCGAGCGCGCTACCACTTGAGCCACATCCCCAGCCCACACCAGGGGCTTCTGTCCCGCCTCACGCAGCCACACAGCCAGAGGGTGAGGCACAAAGGCGGAGCCAAGGGTGTAGGTGAAACAGCCACTGGAGACTGGGCTCTGCTGCAAGGAGAATCCACAGCAGAAGCAGCACGAACCATAAAAGGGAAAAAATGATACTCCAGACCTCCAAGGAGAGTAAGATCAGTGATACTGTGCTCCCCAGAGATAGCGTCAAGGGGCTGGGGGCAGCTCCTCTGTACACTCCAACCCCAGCCCAGGCCTTGCCCAGCACGTGCAGGCCCTGGGTTCCGCTCCAGCACCATTGCAGAGAAAAAAAGAAGACGTAAAAACAAGAAAAACAAAAAGACATGCAACTAACCAGGGAAAATTATTGGCATATATATATATAAGTCAGGAAAAGGACTTGCAGTCAGAATATTAAAACGAACTCTCCACATTTTAATGAAATGGTAAGTTCTCTTAAATGTGAATCATATCTAAATAGAGGTTTTTTTAAAAAGCAAACAGCAAAAAAGACTGTGCAACACCAAAAATAATAACACCCATGAGATGACGTTCACTGAGGTCCAGAACATGAACATGTTCCTCCAGAGACAGTGCACACAAGTGCCACCGTGGGGGTGTAAACACTGTTCTGCCTGTGGCTAAGATGGGGCACACACGGCACGCTGCCCCGTCGCACTGCCCCGTCACTCCAGAGCTGTTCCAGCCATTTTTGGCCTTATCCGCTCAGTTACTCACCTAAGTCACATTACATTCACAATATTTATTATAGAATCTGTTGTGTGTTGGAGCTCCTTTGCCAAGAAACAAAGAATAACCAACCTTAACCTATAAAGGCTTTCTATCTCAGACACATTTGGCCCATTGTAAATAATCAGATTAATCCTGCTTCCGTCATAACATTGTAAGTTGCTAGGCAACCAGAAGCGACAAATCAGAAAATGAATCATCATAGACACGGCACGCAAGCCTTTTATGGGTGTCTCATCCTTAAACACTTTCAAGGAAACAGGAGAAAATACATGTCTACTCTCATGGAATGTGAGTACGTGAAATGACCCGACTCTTTTTTTTTAATCTATTCAAAAAATTGTCATTTTTAAGATTTATTAATTTATTTTTGCAGTGCTGGGGATCAAACGCAGGGCCTCACATACAGCGACACACGTGCTGTACCACTGAGCCACACCTCCAGTCCCAACAAGGTTTACTGAGCACTCAGATACCAAGCGATGCAGTGTTCGCTGATGATACTGACCCCTGCTGGGCAAGGCGGTGCACACCTGTAATCCAGCTCTTCTGGAGGCTGAGCCAAGAGGGTCAAAAGTTTGAGGCCAGCCCGGGCAAGTCAGCCAAGCCCCATCTCCAAAAGAACTGGGTGTAGCTCAGAGGTAAAGTGCTTACTTAGCATGTGTAAGGCCCTGGGTTTGATCCCTGGTTCTACCAGAAGAAGGAAAAAAAAAAAAAGAGGTGACCCTGCCCTGAAAAAAAATCCTAATCTAATGAAAAGGCAAACATGGAATGTCCAGGTCCTATAAAGTCCACTGATTGTTCAAGTGTTGCAGAATAACATCTTCCTGAGGAAGCTACATTTTAATAGCAGCCTCCTTAAACCAAGGATCCTGAAGACATTGAGGAATGCAGCACTAATGGGGGACAGCTGACAAAGAGGGGCAGCAAGGGCCCAGAGCAGACGCCCTTGATGTGCAAACCCTTGTCACCCAGTGTCTCAGTCAACCTCTCCTCTCTAAGGAACCTTCTCTCCCCTCTCACATTAGGAGTGGATGGTGCACCGTCAAGGACATTTACAGCCAACCCAAAGCCAAAGCCAACATCATAACAAATGGAGAAAAACTCAAAGCACTTCCTGTAAAATCAGGAACAAGGCAAAGCTGTCCACCCTCCTCGCTCCTATTAAATAAAGTCCTCAAAAAATTAGCTGGAACAACCAGGCGAGAAAAGGAAACCAAAGGAGAACAAACAGGGAAAGTCGAACTCTCTCTGTTCTATGATATGATCCTATACCCCAACACCAAATCCTCCCCAGAAGACTTCCAGAGCTTACAAGTGAGCTTATCGAAGTAGCAGGATACAAGATCCAAACCCATAAGTAAACAGCGTCCTACATGCCAACAGTGATTCAGAGGAGGAGGGAATCAGGAAAGCCACCCCATTCACAATAGCCTCAGATCAATCACATGCCTGGGAACTAACCTGACCAAGGAGGAAAAGAGCTCTGAAATGAAAATT